CATGAACTAGGTTTCTCAGTAGGAAACTGTGTGCTTGATTTGAGAACTTGGTATTGATTCTAATTCTGATCTAAAACTCCATGGAATGTGTTAGCTCCAAACAATGTTAAGGTAGCCCTTATTTCATGGCAGTGGTGAACATCAAGCTGCAAAGGATTTCAAAGATGAAGACTGAGACGATAGGAAACCATCTGGCAGACAGAGTATATGTGGTAATAGGAAGAATATCTGGGGTATACTCAATTCCAAATACTAGCATTCATCAATGCTTCATTTACATATTCATATTTTTATTCAAGAAATAATCATTGTTTCTGTGTCAGGTATGACAATGCACGAAGAGCAGATATGATTTCTGACCTCTTGGAATCAGACTTAATTCATAGTTATGTAATTCCCTTAATTCTTACATAGCAAATAATAGTTTGCTATGGATTACATAATTCATATTTATGTAATCCCTTAATTCCTACAAGGAAAAAACGGGGCGGGGGCAGTGATTGAGTGTAGTTGGAAATGCCAACATAAGGTGGGAGTCAGGAAAGTCTTCCTTGAGTAAGTGATATTTAAAATGATGGAAAGTTTAATGATACATTGCTAGATGTTGGAAATATGATGATAAGCATAGTCCCTGTCCTTGAAGAGTTCATGTCTAGGAAAGAGACATGCAAACCAGTAAGAATCCTCTATGAGAAGTGTTCTATAGAAGTATATGAATTACAGTGGATCCCGAAGGTTGTGGGTAATTCTGTCTGACCATCTCAGGAAAGGCTTTATGAGATTAAAGCACTTTAAGTGTGGGTTTTTGAAGCACTATCATTTTGAAGCCTAAGGAATATTACCAAGCAATCAAGACAGGAAATCATATAGCAAGTAATGGCTAGGAGTAAGAAAAAGTCTAGTATGTTTGGCAAACCCTAAGTAGAAGGGAAGGCCTAGAAAGGCAATTGGCCAAAGGTGAGATTGTGTATGGAGTGGGATGGTAAAATTTAAGGCATGTGAAATACTGTATAAAAGAGTTTATACTTCTCTTTTAGGAGTGGAGGAGCCATTAGAGTATTTTAATTAGGAGTTTGAAATCGACTGGTGTTTGTAGACTAATTCTGAGTGCAAAAGGAAGGATGGATTTGCCTTATGGAAAGGCTGGATTCGGGGAGACTGATTCGAAGGTCATTGCAATAGGCCCTAAGAAAGGAGGGAAGAACTTTAGCTATGGCAGTGGCCAGGAAGATTTAAAAGCTATTTAGGAGTAAAAATCAATGCTAATTGAGGACTGACTGGCTAGGATAGATGGAGAGAGAGAATTCCAGCATATGTGGAGATTTCTACCTTCTGGGTACTTTATGGAATCCACAGAACCATTGTCAGATAGTAGAAAGGCTTAAGATTTGAGGTTTGAATCCTGGCTCTACCACTTAAGCTAGCTGAGCCTCATTTTTCTACACAAAAATGGCTTAAAATAATTTTGTGGGGGTTAGAGGCACTTGAGTGGCTCAGTGAGTTGAGTGACCAACTCTTGATTTCAGCTCAGGTCATGATCTCATGGTTGTGAGATTGAGCACCTCGTTGGGCTCATGGATCTTGCTTGTCTATGGGCAAGACTATGGTCTACATTCAGCCTCTATTTTCTTCTTGAGGACCAAACACTCAGGATTAGGGTAAATTGTACAGAATCAGAAATGGTTTAAGATAGTAAGTTCAGTTTTAAGCATGCTAAGTTTAAAGTTCATATTGTAGTCCAGATGGATATATCTTGTATGTATTCAGAAACAGAGCTCGAGGACTTGGGAATGGGGTGCAAATAAAAGCCCAAGAATTTGCAGATGTAATTATTAGGTGATAATTGAAATCACTTGACTGTATGAGAGTCCACCCGGTATAAGAAAGAAAAGATTCAAAGTGAAATCTCTGGTGATCGGTATGTAAATAAGTAGACAGAGAAGGAAGAGCCTCCCAAAAGCAACTAAAAGATGGTTTAAGAAATAAGAACAAAACCTTGAAAATGGGAACAAACATAACAAAACCTGCCTAGTATGAGAGGTGAACTTTAAGAAGGAAATCTGTAGCACTCTGACAGGTCTTAGGACTGACAAGTAACTTGAGGAAAAGGGAGACCTCTTTGAATATAACAATTAAGAGATCACTGACAACCTTAGAGCAATCTCCTTATGGTGGTGGGGAGCTGAATGCATATGGCCGTTAATTGAGGAAGGAGCAGAAATGAATAAATAGTCAGGAGATGCAGAATACTCTTTTTTTTTTTTTAAAAAATTTGGTGGCGAGTTGAGGTGGTAGGTAGAAATGGATAAAGATAAAAGAGAGGGGCGCCTGGGTGGTGCAGTCGGTTAAGCGTCCGACTTCAGCCAGGTCACAATCTCATGGATCGATTCGAACCCCATCGGTAATCGGGCTCTGGGCTGATAGCTCAGACTAGCTTCCATTCTGTGTCTCCCTCTCTCTCTGCCCCTCCCCCATTCATGCTCTGTCTCTCTCTGTCCCAAAAATAAATAAAGGTTGAAAAAAAAATTTTAAAGAAAAGAGGCCTTGGGTGCCTGGATGACTCAGTTGGATAAGCATCCAACTTGGGCTCAGGTTATAATCTCACACTTAGTGAATTCCAGCCCCACGTGGAGCTATCTGCTGTCAGCGCGGATCCCGCTTTGGATCCTCTGTCCCTCCCTCTCTGCTCCTCCCCAACTCATTTTCTCTCTCTAAAATAAAATAAACATTAAAAAAAAAGAAAGAAGGCTTAATTAATAGACACTGAGAGCAAAGATCTAGCATTGAGGAAGCAGAGGGAGATAAGTGATGGAAGGTAAATAATAAAGGAATGTTCTAGAAGAGGCTGCAGCTCAGGAAATATGTTACAAAAGAATGCATTTGCCTGAGATGGAAAAGGCATAATTTCCCTTTGAGTCAGAAGGTGGAGTAAAGTTGGAAAGACAATCAATAATTGGAAAGTAGGAAGCTTCCAGAATTAACACAGTTGTTTTATCCTGTTATTTAGCTTTTATTTTTTTGTGTTCTAATAGCTTAGATTCCGAGTACCTTAATTAGATTGGCTAGTACCTTTTAATGTTCTCTCTACATAAAATGAATTATTAAATTTTAATTTAGTAAAAGCTAAGTGAAACCACACCTCTGTCCTTTATTTTCCCTGAAAAAAGAACGTTAGAAAATACTGATTCTTAATAAAGTAGCCCCAAGAATGACAAGGTCACAAAAATTACATTATCTGTGCCAGTGTCTCAGAATATCAGAGAAATATGTTCCCCTAATGATTTGTATATCCTACAGAAATACTAAAGATAAACTTTATGCAGGACATTGGAGTATGTGTTAGCTCTTAAAATAAATTGTTCCAGTAATAAAATGATTTGTATTGTTTCACTACCACTATAAATGAGTTTTTGTTTGAGCATTTGCTTGTTGGAAAATAGTTTTACATAGCCTTTTTTAAATGTTAACTGTTAGCTCAAGCTTAATTAGGATTGTAAGTAATTAATTTTGTATCATGTTTACATTTGAAAACAAGTACCATATGACCTTTGTTAGTAGCTGTACACATAGTTTAATTAGATTATCTTCATTTTATTGTGTTATACACAAATAAAACACAAAATAACCAGTCCCTCCTCATACTTGTGATTGTAGAAATGATGAAGAGCAGGATCTGGATTTATATTATAAATAATAAGCAAGTATAGTAAATTCTGCAGATAGAAGAATCATACATTTGAAATACACAGTCCAGAGCAGATGGGAATTCAGCCCAAGGTCAGAATCTCAAATAAAGACTTTCAAAGCAATAAGATGATACAGTTATATTTTAATTTTACCATCATGTGGGGATTTATAGTATTCTATCATTGGTCTTCATCACTACTTTTCTAATTTCTACCTGAATGATCTCAGTCATATTTTCTGGTTCACTACTGACTTTGTTCCAGCGCTTTGAAATACATTTCATTAGCTTTGATCTTCTTGCTATATTCATATATGTAAATCCAAACACAGAACGGATATCTATTTTTGATAGTGTAACAGAATTAATACTTAGTATTTTCAAAACTGCACCTGGGCCTTTTCCATCAAATTTACTTGTCCTGTATTTCCTACTTTAGAAAAGGATATAACCAAGGACCTGACACTTAATTTGGGAAAGGATCATAGTTTCTCATTTCAGGTTAACACCAAAGTCACTATGTTGTATTTCGTGCTAGGCTTTTCCTTAACCATGACTTTTTTCCCCCCAACAGTTGTGCTTACACCATTTAAATTTCTTTAAAGAACATTATAAATTTGTGGTTATTTTTTTCTTCCTATGTCAGTATTGGTGTTTGTACTTGCACTTCATCCAAGTCTTAAGATTATTGTGAGAATTCAGTTAGATAACAAACATAAAGCACTTACTAGGATGCCATCTATATAAGAATTATTCGGTAGAAACAACTCAAAGGAACATAATATGTAATTAAGTCATGGAACATAGATTTAGAGGAAAACGGGGTAATCCTCAACTACTTAGAACTAATATTTTGGGTGTGTGCGATGCCATGATGAAGAGGTAATGTTATGTATTATCAAAGAAATTGTTCACATTGAACTGAAGGATAAATATGGAAATAGTAACAAAATGAAAGATAGAAATAAGAAGCATCCTTAGAAATTGAAATATTCTAATGGCAGTCATTGAGAGTTACCAATCATTCTTTATTATCAATGCAGTGTATCATCTTTATGTACATTGCAACATATCAGCATTACATTCTGTACAACTCTGGGTATATCATTTGCCCTCTCATTGCTTCCATTGCCTCAGGATACCATAAGGATCTTGACTAGAGAAACTTTAAGTTCGATTTCAGTTTTGAAAACTATGACTTTATGACCACAAAAGAGCTTAATTCTGATTTTTCTGAGTCAACACTTAACAGAATTGTGAAAGACCTCCTGTCTGTGTTTATGTACTTTCTGATTCCAGAATCACCCTTCTCTTTCTAATCTGTCATCCCTATTAATTCTTCAAGTTTCTTCTCCAAATATTTCTTTAATGACCTTCGTATTGCCTTCATTTTCCTCCAATGAGACACACAGATATGGAATCTAGAGTAGAGAAACATAATCCTGATTTCAATATTAGCAGGCCAACTCTTTAAGATAATTATATGTGTGTGTGTGTGTGTGTGTGTGTGTGTGTGTGTTTCCGTATAGTGCTCTAGAAGTTTGCCTCATACTTTATTGTACCTCCTCCATTTCCTATGTTCCAGTTTTTATCCCATAGACTTCTATACATTTTATCCCTGTTGGTATTCTATCCCAAATTTGAAATGACTTTTTTCTCCTTATTGCCTTTGTAAGGAGGGGGAGGATTGGGCAGTCTCTTTGCCAAAGGAATGCTTGACTTTGAGGGAGAAAAACTCACAGTAACCAAGCACTTCCCAATATCACAACTTCTGTTAGCAATATCAGAAATAGTCCAATCTCTCGATTCTCAGCCATCCTTGAATCCTCTTCTGGAGGGAGAAAGGGAAAAAAAGAAAGTGGGTTGGGGAGAAGAAAAATACTAACTTGAGACTTGATCCATAATAGATGACTCTTACTAACCTCAAATAATTTGCTTTGTCCACTACTTCTATTGCTGTTTTCTCTCTATCTTCATTTAGTCCAACCTTTTCATTTCTCAGCCCTTCAATTGATCTGGTGCCCAGTAATTTATTCATACTGGTACAAATTTTGCCCAATATTTTAGCTCTGATTTGTAACATTAGCACGGTGTGCCTAGAAGGTGCTCACCAAATATTTGTAAAATAAATCAATAAACAACTGAGTACCTTGATACCTGGTCCCTCAAAATGCCACACCACTATCTTTGTTACCTCCACAATACTCTCCTCTGAAGCATTGGGTGGTGATGCGAAGACAGGTCCAACAATCCAAGATAGGACCTTCAGTCACAACTGATAAAGAGAAGAAATTTAATGGAAGGGGGGGCCATGGCATGGAGTTTTCTTATTTCATACATCAAGTCTGATGGATTAAACCTCAGGCATTTCCAGGACTCTTAAGTTTACATTGCTGTGAATTCTTTCTTTCCCTAGTAATCAAGTTTCTTGATGAGTCAAAAGCTTCTGTAACTTAAGTCAGATCTCTGGAGAAGAAGTGGGAAAAATGATGCCTCAGCTTATATTGGCCCTATGGGTTATAAACCATACTTTTGAAAGCCTCTGAGCACCTCCAAAATCTGTGTGTTTGAGATTTGAGACACATTTTGTTGTCAGATACTGTTGACATTCCCACCCCCATAATCAAATCTGTAGGAAGTGAGTTCTGAGTGTGACAGGTGGGAAAGATATGGCCATATAGAACAAATGAGATGGGGAAATAGGGGTTGAATCCTCAAGGTGTCCCATGTACTGTACTCACCACAATCTTCAGAACAAGCTAAAAGAGAATTAGAAAGTTCTAGTGAGCTTATGATCAACGTAGAGTTTGCCATATTTATACCCAATAGTCTTTATTTGGTTACAAAATGAGGTTCCAGCCACCCCTCCACCCATTCTAAATAACTCTAATATGAAACCACCTTCCTCCTCTCATCCTCATTTCCTATTCCTTTCACATAAGTTCACTGTTGTTAGATAGACATCTTTTATTACCAACTTCAGAGAAGTTCTTTAATATCTCTTTCAGTTTCAATTCCAGGTTTTGGCGGACATCGAGAAGCTTGCCTTGAAGGATAAAGGCACCTAAGAGGAGGTGGAAGGCACATTAGAAACTAGGGGTGGTTCTTCCCTTCAGAATTTAATCCTAATTGTTTTTGCCTTGTTCTTCCCAGTGAACTTTGCCTATACTTGCTTGGGCAGTACAATCTTTTAACATGAAACAATCCCTCACCTTTCCATGTTTCATTGCCCAGTTTATAAAGTTCATTCTTCAGCCATATTCTCAACTTGACAGCCTTATGAACAGCTAGAGAGGGGGTTAAAGATACATACAGAGGAATAATTACATCCATGGAAAAACTTATGTGGACCCACGTGCACTCTTCCCTGCCTCCCTTTTCCTTTTAACCCACAAAACTCTCAGTGACTCAAGCTTCCCTCACCCAACACCCGAAGCATCTTGTCCCCGTGGGAGACCTTGAAGCTTAAATGGATCATCTCCTTAATCTGCCGTTCAAGCAGATGAGTTCGGCCAGGGACTTCTGGGGGTACCAGCTTTGCTATCAAGGACCTAATATCCTCTTTGAATTTGGGGTCACATTCCAAGCAGGCTTTGACCCCGTGGAAGGCTGCCAAGGACAGGGGCAAGAGTAGGAGCAACCACAGGTCTCCCATTTCCTTCCCCCAACAGCTGGTTGTCCTGGCAACTAGTTCACCTAGTTCCCTTTTCTTCAAAAATCCAGGAATAAGAGCCTTGTCCTGGATAGTCTGACTCCACCTTCCCCTCCATTTCCATCCCACTTCTAGGCAATCTCTTTTGCTTAAGGATCTTCAGTTGTTTTCTGACATTTATCCTTCATGCCAGAGAGGGAGAACTGCCAGTTGGGAAGCAGATACCTGAGTTCTGAGAATAGAACACAGAGAGAGAAATCTTGAGCTCACACAAGCAGAGTTCCGTGCAGAGATATATCTCAGGAAAGGTTTTTCTTCAGGTTTCTCCTATTCTTGTGTCCTCAGTAAATTCCCACATCCCTCCTGATCATGGGAGTGGTGTCTCAAGAAAGAGATCTCATAGGACCTTAGAGCTGCTTAACCAAAATTCTACTTCTATAGAGGAGGTAATAAAGCCCTGGAATATTGAATTGCTTGGGGTCCCAGTCCCTAATGGTAGAAGTATTGTTGAAAATTAGCAATAGATGTCCAGATGTAATTGATGTCATTGATAGTAATTTTTATATAATTGGTAATTTCTCAAAAATTGGTAGGATGATTTTCAGGCGTGACATATTTTTTATATCATTCTTTTTTTTTTTTAATTTTTTTTTTTCAAACGTTTATTTATTTTTGGGACAGAGAGAGACAGAGCATGAACGGGGGAGGGGCAGAGAGAGAGGGAGACACAGAATCGGAAGCAGGCTCCAGGCTCTGAGCCATCAGCCCAGAGCCCGACGTGGGGCTCGAACTCCCGGACCGCGAGATCGTGACCTGGCTGAAGTCGGACGCTTAACCGACTGCGCCACCCAGGCGCCCCATATCATTCTTTTAATAAAGAGTCTGGAGCAAGGAGACAGGAGACATCAGTTGAGGAATATATGGTGATGGGTGAGAATCCAGTAACACCCAGGGTCCTTTAGTGGACACATCTTAAAAGTACTAATGCTGAAATATGAGGCATATAAGAAAATAACCACAGTCATCATGGGCTGCCCTCTCAGGCCGCCATGGAAGGAACCCAAGTAAGCATTTCAGTTTAGGGCTCTTGAATAAGAATGTTCTTCATTTTTTGAAGAAATGAAGATTGCTTTGCAGATTTTTCAGGATACCAGTTACCTCTTCTCTGTTACATTGCTTGTATGGCCGTGACCTCCTGGGAACCAGGAAACCCTGAAATCTTAAAAGATTAGTGGTAGAATTTAGAGCTAAGGTATGGTAAAGTCATGGAGTGAAAAGCTGTGAGGGAATTCCAAACATCTACCACTAGTTATATGCCTACCATGCACTGCTAGGTATGTACTAAACAGTTCTGATAGATGATTTGCAAGTCCTGATGGCACAGCAATACTTTGAAAGATTATCCCAATTTTACAGATAAGACTCTGAGGTTAGGAAATGTGAAACAATCCTTTCGGCAAAATAATTTGGTAGCTATGGGATCAGGATTTTAACTCATGCCTGTCTGACTCTAAATTCTATATACTTTAATCACTGCCTCTCAACATTTTTTGGGACAATGCAGAAAATGATTTATTGGAGCTTGATAAATCAGAAGATTGCAAGAGGGGCAATTCAAATCCTTTGCTCCAAATCCACACCTCTTTGTTCTGATTTTATTTTCCCTTGGCTAGATGATCTCATCTTTAGATGATCTTCCAAAGGATTTCCACATGTTGAGATCTGAAGGCATTTGAGGTTATGGGATTAAATGAACTCTGAAAACCAAATTGGAGACTAAAAGGGGCTAAGACCTTTGGCATGAAGGTAGCCAGATTTGAGGAAAAAACATTCTTGAAGAGAAACACACATTATAGATATTTTCCAGTTAACAACGCATACTTCTTTCAGATTGGACACTTAAAGAGAATGCTTTGCCATTTTAGTGAATAAGTCTACTGTTCAGTGTCACATTACCTTGATCCAGACCATGTGCCCAATTGACCAGTTTTATCCTCATTCTTCCAGCTTAATTAGCAATCCAGGATTTTTAGGATGAGAGAAAAAAAATATTCAACTTCTGTATAGTCTTGGGAAGACTGAAAACAAGCAGGCCACTTTCTAAAAAGATGGGACTTGTAATTGAAAGGGACATATAAAAAATAATGGAGGGACTAGCACTACCATGGAGCAAACAGCAAACAGATAATAACAGAGTGAGCTGATAATAGAGGCAGAGGTGGACACAGATCTATAAGAAGACAGAACAGCACTAAATCTGGAGGAATTTTTATAGAGAGGCTGGATCTAGGAGACTAGAAACAACAATTAATGAATATATGGTGGTGAGTGAGAACCCAGAGATATTCAAGATGCTTTACGAGAAGCATCCTGAAGGTACTGATGATGGAGTGTATGACACAGAAGAAAATAACTACAATTATCCTGGGCTAGTTCTTCAAATTCCGTAAATGTAAAATATTTGAACTTTGGAAAGGAAGAGCTGTCTGGACATTGACTGAGGATATAATGATCACATTACTTAATTAAAATAATGATACTTGTGTCTAGGAGGCAAAAGGCTAATACCTAAATCCTTCATTGATTATGCTAATATTTGGTTTGGATTGGCACAGAGGGGATATGATTTGTAGTTAGTGTGAATGTGTAGAATAGCTAACCAAACCCTTTATTTGCTTTAAATAAGAGATACGTAGTAGCACATGCATTCATAATATTTTACCAAATAGACATTTATTCATTTGCAAATCTTAGATAAGATTCATGGGTTATTCACAGGTGAGATATATTACATATTGTATATGTTCTTTTCCTCCAAAACCATTAGTCCTAATAGTCCCTTTTAAAGGCTAGAGTCAGTTGTTTTGTAGCATGTGGCCTTTGTTACAAATCATAGGATACACTGAGGTTTAAAATCTAAAATAAATAAATAAATAAAATCTAAAAAGTTTCATAAAGAAGAGCAAGAAGCTTCTTAAAAGAATTTCCTTCAATCCATAGTAAATCTTGTTTCCAGATCCATACAAAAAAAATAAAAATAGGGAATCTCTGTGGCTCAAGCTTCTTAGAGCTTCTTTTCTTGTGGATTATTTGTCCCAGCTGAGCCCTCCTGCATTGCTGCCTATCTCTGTCACTTCACAGGATTCCCTAGAAGTTTGGCAAATAATCCAGATACCTTTCGTATTCAAATGAGATTCAATTCCTTCCTGACTGTGTGATCTGAGACTAGGGAGCCAGTGTTTGGCATTTGGTCAAGTTATAAGCCATCTGTCTAGGCAGCATAATAACCATAATTATAAATGTTGAGATAATTACTGTATTCCAGATCCTTCACATGTAAAGTGATTTTAATATTTTCTGGTGTGCCTGTCCACTTATCCATTTATACTCCATTGTCATTAAGCCAAATTCCACCCTCCCCCCCTCCCCCCGCCACCATGTTCCACTCGTTCTTTAGAAGAAGTCCTAAGGTTGGAGCTTGGAAGACTTTTTTTTAAACATTTATTTTGAGAGACACAGAGCACAAGTGGGTGAGGGACGGACGGACAGACACACACACACACACACACACACACACACACAGAATCTGAAGCAGGCTCCAGGCTCTGAGCTGTGAGCACAGAGCCTGATGTGGGGATCGAATCCACAAACTGTGAGATCATGATCTGAGCTGTGGTCTGACGTTTAACCGACTGAGCCACCCAGGTGTCCTGGAGCTTGGAAGACTTTGAGGGAATCTCCATCTGGAAGGAAATTAAACTAAAAGAAAAGCTGATCCCATCAGTAGGGATTGTGGGAAGAACAGGGGAGTCAAGTAATGACAAAAGATTTGTGTCATAACCTCTTATCTCTAGGCTGGGTTCCCAGAAGGGGAGATTACATTAGGTGGGTTAAAGGGAATACTAAAGACAAGAGGAGCTTGCCCTGCATCCTTGAGGAGCTCCAAAGACTACACCAGTTACCTGCATGTGACAACTGTACCTCAGGAAAAATAGTAGCATGACATGATTGGCTAACAGAAGGCACTCCTGAGACCATGTTAGTTACCCTGTGCTGTGGAAGGACCAGTACGCTTCCCCTGGTTGCCAGGCAAGGATGTGCAAGTGAACTCAGGATCTGACTGGAAAGCTTGACACTGTTTCATCAAGGCTTCAGGGAGTGGGGTCCTGTCTGAAAGATGGATAGCAAACCACTAGACCAGGAAAGGAAAAGGCATTTGCAGCAAGCTCCAGCACCTTGATGGGGCCAAATTGTCAGGGAAAACTGCCAGACCCTGAGGAAATAGAGATCAAGCCCAAAGTGCCCCACATGCAGAGTTTCCCAGAAAATACCACAAGAAGACTCAGAGGTGGGGTGGTACCAATCTTGCCTTAGAAGATACCAACACATTGGCAAAGAATAAAACAAATACCCTCAAAGTTAAAAAAGTATGTCATTCAAGGGAACACACATTAGTGAAGAAATGCACTACATAATTCACTGAAGAGGAGAAGACGGGTTTTAAATGCTAAAAGAGAGTTCAGTAAGTGATTGTACTTACTACCATTTTAGTATGCTAGGTAAGATGGACTGGTAGTTAAAACAAGCCTGATTTTTCAGTGATTAGGACAGTGTTTTCTTAAGCCCAAGAGAGGTCTAGTATTCCAGAGTTACCAATGTTCATGGTTCCTGATCAATTATAGGAGGTTAGGGCCAGTTGGAGTAACCTAACCATTGTCCTATCTCCTGGGCAAGCACTGCTATCAGTGGAAAGCTTTCCTCTATGTGCTATATATCCAAGGGCCCCTTCAACCGCGGGAGGACCTATGAATTAACAAAGGCCCCGCACCTTCCCATTCCTATATCCCATTTTGGAAAGAAGCAGGGAATGGGAAGGAAATATGAAAGAATGATTTTTCCAAAAGGTACTTGGTTCCAAAAAAGAGTGTTTAAATATTGGGTGGGATTAAATTTATCATATTGTGTGATACTGCTTTTTTTTCCTTTGCTCACCCTGTGAGGTG